AAATAAGATAAACTTAAAATTCTATCAGTCTGATGAAGTACAACCTACCTGTGGAAGATAGCCACAGCAGGTAACTGTATGAAAGCCAAATTGATCCACAAACTGGACTTCCATTTGCCCTTGACCTTTACCTTTCAAACCAAAGACAAAAATCCAATACTAATGACAAGATTCTACGTATCTACAATGCAAATGGACCTTTTAAAACTACACAAGGGTACAATGCTTCAATGCTTCTTCTACAGAGAATTAAAAACCTGCATCTTAATATTCTTTTTGTTACAATGGTTGTTGCTGTTGGTTTTTAAGTTTAAAGCTTGATGTAAAGCAGCTATATTACAATCTTCATAATCATATTTTGAGGTAGCATATCTCCTCTGATACCATGTCCTTGCAGAAACTGTCATTCGGGATCCTAAGGGTCCCAAACTGAATAAATGTTTTGCTTAGAGAGATCCAAACAGAGCAAACAAAAGCAAAAAGAAGACCTCCTGCCTGGGTGTTTTGTCCAACTCTATTTTCATAATATCTTTATTGGAAGAAGACAAACTTATCCTGAAAAAACAAAAGCTGTTTTAACTGTTTTGTAGATTATCATTAACTAGGTTAAATTTGCAAACAGCTGTGTACTGTACCAATTGTGCTCTCTTCTTTCTTCAACTTCTCTCCAATTTTCTGGTTATGAAGGTGGAGATCAGCCAGTTGTGTTCCAAGCTTTGCTGAATGTCTAAGAAACAAAAGTATTCTTAGCAACACTGACACATGAATGAATATAGTTCTTGATATTCCAGGAACTGAAGCAAAGCAAAAGTTCTGCATCTCTAACAAAGTACATTTTCAAAATATTCTGGTCACAAACACCACATCTTCCTATAAAGATAACGTATTAACATAGAACAAAACGCACTTACATCGTTGTTTCTAACAACACTATTAAAAGTGAGCAGCGATCATAAATTCAGTAAAAATGAGTAAATTTGAATAAAAATTGAATAAAAAATGAGGAACTATCTATTCTAATTTCTGCATGATATCACTTCTATATGAACTTTCAGTAAGATATATGTAAGAAAAGCATGCACAACGTTATGCTTTTTTTTTTTTTTTTTTTGGCAAACAGAGCCAAACAAGACTCATACTCTTCTTTATATCTCTGTCTCTCTGTCACTGTCTTCTCCTCTCTAATAGGCCTAGAAGATGGAAGAGCTGGCTTCAGAAGTTCTGAGATTGAGATGAGAAATTAGTCATGCCCACCTCCCTAATGGAACCCGACAGAAATACTGATCATATTTTAATTTACTTAAGTGTTTGACACAGAGGAGGGCCAAAAGTTTGCAGGTAACAGAATAAAAGTGAGAGCTGTGAAAATACTGAAATCAAGATGCATTCATCTGGGGAAGTGCCTGTGAGTACTCATAACAAACAATATTAAACACGGGTTCTTATACCAAAGGCAAGTACCCAAAACAGGTGATTAGGTAGGTCATTTTTCTGACTGTAAAAAGGAACCTTACCATAAAAATCACTAATTACTTAGAAAAAAAACAAAGCCAAACCTAAAGGAAAACCACACTCACTTCTTGATGAACTATTTATTTGCTAGGTGTAGCATTACAAAGTATTTTATACAGTTCTTGGCTGTATAACTTCCCAAACATATCTTGACTTGCTTTAAAAATCAAAAAAAACAAAGAGGTTTCCCCTCTCGAAAACAAGTGATTTAACTGTCATAATAGGAAAAATTTCTGGTTAAATGAAGCAAAGATAATACTGTGTTTTACCTGTTTAAGCTTCTCATTTCCAAATGTTCCATCACAAACAGAGTACCGCTCCCCGGCAGGTCTATAACTTTGATGGGTTTAGGCACTTTTATTGTCTGTGTTTTCAAGATGGCTTCCAAACTTGCCATTTCTCCCTCAAACATTCTCCTAGCCTGTCAAATATTGAAGGAAAGCATTAATCTCTATGAACACCAGTCACAGGTAAACAAAGCTCTTCCAGAAAAACAACCAAGGCTGTAAATATTAAATAAAAAGCTTGGAGCAAGTGGTTACAGCCCATACAAGATACAGATAGATCCACACCACCAAATTTGACAGTAATTTCGCAATTACAGAAATTTCACTTCATTAACTGTCTCCATGGAAATTACTTTGGTTCTAGCACTCTCTGTAATGATAAAAATAACTTAGAAAGTCTGTTTACAATTGAAGGAGTGCAAACTGCATATATATAAAACGTAAGCAATATTTTATTAATGGATTATGCAGAACACATCTAGAAAGCTATGGGCAATATACATCATCAGTTGAGAGACTAGAAGAGTGGTACTGATACTCACAGCCTTCATGACTTTCCCCAACACAAACTGCTTAGTAATAGAGCCAATCTTCAAAATAGTCTAATTTGCAATCACTGTGATTTTCCCTGGCCTATTTATTTTGCCTTATGAGGGGAAAAAAAAAAGAATATCAATGATAGGAGCCAAACGCCCCTTACCACACTTGCACAGAGAAGCCCTTAGAACCCAAGCCACTACCAACTGTGTGTGCTTTGAAGACATTCTGAATGTAGGGCCTATTTTTGCAACTGTTAGCCACATTGAGTAAAATATTTTCTCTTGAGTTGATCCATGGACATCAGTGGCACCAGTCACATGAAGAAATGCTGCTCTAGAAGAGTTAGGCAGAGGTTGCAGGAAAAGGGCACTTGGGAAACCTACGGTATCTGCTAAAAGCAAAAGCAAGGAAATATAGAATACTGGCCCTTCAGTACTGATGCATGAAACACAGTCAAAGGACAATTTGCAATAGACACTGACTAAAAATTCTAAAGCCTACAGGAGATCAAGAATTAAGAACTGCTGAATTGCTGGGCCATGAGATAGCTTTGTTCAGAGGAAATTGATAAAAAACTGTATCTCTGTCTAAAGCATCATACTAGGTTAAAGTCAGCTGTTAACTTTAATAGAATAAAAACCAGAGTGTTTTCTAAATAACTTTGTTTTTCTAAAGAAACTGCTGATATACACCCACTGCTGCACACACAGCACAGCATCATAATACAGTTTGGCAAAGTTTGCTTTGATCAGCACTCAGAATCCCCACACAGTCATAGAAAATTAAATGATTACTGAATAGAAAAATCTATCCACATCTTTCTTCCCAAGCCCTATCTTGTTGCTAGCTGGATTGTATACCTAAATACACCATTAACAAAGGCCTAAATGGAAGGGCTCTGTTCCTGCCAATTCAAACTATTTTCAGTCTGATGTAAAGCAGGATAACATTTCAGTATTTTCTCATGTTACCACCTCAGTGCATTATTTTCCATCCAGCTCCCTGATATGATCAGAAAGTGCAGACAAATTTGGAACATAGTTGAATACACGCTTTCAAAAAAAAAATTGTTTACTGTTAAAGGCAAATAGAAGTTCTGGCTTTCGTTCTTCCAGTGAAGCTATTAATTTGACAGACACAAGCGTAGAGTACCTTTAAAGTAAATTCCATCTAACCTCTGCTTTTGCAAATAAGGATGCCACACAGTATGCTGCATCACACTTATCTCTATAAAATGCAGATATCTGCCTCCTACAGTAGCCGGTACCAGGTATTGAAAGGACAAATGAGAAAATCTTAAACAACAATTGTGGAAAAATATCATTGAGAAAAGCTCCTTCTTATGTGCAGGGAATGACTGCTTTTTTTACAATGAAAAAAAAAAAGACACCCACCCTCAGTAGATGATTTTATAACCTCCAGGTTGCTCCAGACACTCCCAGCATACACAGCCACAGGAACACCACTGTCACCCCAGCCCTGACAGCAGCGTGCCCTGGACAAACACCACCGATACCACAACAGCATCCCACCA